ATCGGATCCAGGTAGTTTCTCGATTCCTTGCAAAATCGGGAACATTGAGATTGACCGTGCGTTGTGCGATCTGGGTGCCAGTGTGAGCTTGCTTCCATTGTCTATCTATAAGAAGCTCAACATTGGAGATCTTAAGCCGACGGGGATGGCACTACAACTTGCGGATAGATCCGTCAAGTATCCTGCAGGTATTCTCGAGGATGTCCCATTGAAAGTCGGGGATTATTATGTTTCCGTTGATTTTGTTGTTTTAGACATGGACGAGGACTCGAAGATACCGATTATACTAGGCCGACCGTTCTTAAACACGGTTGATGCGGTGGTTCATGTTCGTGCTGGTCGTCTTACGATGAAGATAGGTGACGAGACTGTGGAGTTCACCTTAGATCACAACATGAAGCAGCTATCCACCACCGATTCAGCATGCTATGTTGATGTGCATGAAATCCTCACTCAAGAAGTCTTTGATCAGTTTCGGGAAGTCGATCCTTTAGAGATATCTCTCCTTGCATCGAATGAGAGCATATACAACAATTGGGAGGATATCGGGGAGCTTACGCTAGCATTGAACGAAGGATCGGACGAAATTGTTACAGAAGATAGATCCGAATCGATTCCACCTGGAAACGGACCGGATCCAAACACAGCCTTCCGAAGACGGATTTTTACAGAAGGTGGATCCGGACCGATTCCACCTGGAAACGGACTGGATCCAAACACGGTCTTGCGAAGACAAACTGGAAACGGACCGATTCCACCTGGAAACGGACCGATTCCAGTCTCTGAGAAAATCGGACGTTTTTCACATCGACACGCCCGATTCTTCTACGAACGTCTCCGAACCCTCCATGACGATTACTAAAGACGTTCTAGAGATCAGAGAGCCACCGCCTAACACGGGGACGCTGAATAAAGCGGATTGGAGTCTAGAGAATGCCCCGAAGATGAAATTGAAACCCCTACCTCAAAGGCTTAGGACAAAGGAACACACATACACAGATAGGAACACAGGACCATCATTGGAGAGAGGTACATATCCCGCTCATAATCCTATATATGTGTTTGAACCTTCTATTACAGGTTGTCGAGTAGGGGTAATGAGCAAGAGAGGATCGAAACGAGCAAAATCATCACTCAAACATCCACAAGATCCACCTCATTCACAAGTTTGGAAACCCAAGGAGGATAGAAGGCTCAAACATCCACGAGGTCCAAAAGATGCGCTTAACGCTCAACATCCAGGGTGGCGAAAGATCGATTATCTTCGCCTCTCAGACCCTCCCATCATTTGAGCAAGATAGGTCGAGCTAATGACGTTAAACAAGCGCTTCTCGGGAGGCAACCCGAACATTAGGTAACTTTTCTTTTTCTTTGTAGCATAGGTAGTAGAGACCATGATTGTATTTTGGATCTTTCGGAGTGCATTGCTATTATGCTTTTGTTCGGATAACGTTTGTTGTTCTATGAGCGTTTACACCGGCACACGAGAGATGAGCATCGACTTCCGAGAGACAACGTTGGATAAGTTCCAATTCACATAGTGTGTGAGAGCTCTTGCGTTTGACGTGAGTTAACTTCATTGCGAGCGAACGAATTTCGCAGAGCTAAGTTTCTCTATCCCTCTTATTGGTTCTTTTCATATGTTGTTTTCGATTCTACTTTTCCGGACGAGAGTCTACACCGTGGACGGTGTATGGTTCAAGTCTGGGGGGTGGATAGATCCTTCACACATTCAGGCCTATCTACTTAGGATTGCATTTAGTTTAGGTGCATTTTATCATGGCATATAGATTTAGGAAAATTTTTCACTTTTGCATATCACTTTGCATTAGTTGCATTCATGTTTTCTTTTTTTTTCATATAGATGATTTTTGTTAGGTTTGCATGATTGCATTTGACATATAGATTTAGGTTCATATAGGTTCACGTGCATACCTCGAAAAACCGTTTTGAACATCATTTGGAAGATTTTTGGGATGATAGAGTAGGAATAACTTGATGATCTAGTGACTTTGTAGAGCGTGGTTGAACCGTGTCGAATTGATAGTTATCCAGGTTGTATGTTTCTTGTAGAACCTTTTCCGAGTCTTGCAGGTCGGTGAAATCTAGTTCAACAATTGCCTTGGAAAAATAAAGCATCTCGACACTCCGCTGTCGGAATCTCGTCAACGAAAATCGTTCGAGGACATGAGTGCATCGATTGATGGTTCGCGTCTAAGTTGTGGGTCGGACATCGCATCAAAGAAAAAAAATAATATAAAAAAGAAAAAAAAAAGAAAGAAAAGAAAAGAAAGAGAGAAAACGATGTCCTTCAACTTCAACGTCCTAGAAACCCGAGGTGCTAGCATTTGATAGAGAAATTCTACAAAAAGGTAAAAATCCAGGTATGAAGTAGAACTAAGATCGAAGAGGCTAAGTTGAGACAAGGATAGGTTCAGAACTATGATTGGTGAGTTGTAGAGATTCTAATGGGTTCTAGGTGGCAATAAAAATTCCATGGCTAGGTAGATTAGTCTTTGGTAGGAAGATCATAATAGACCGGTTTGGGTACGATTCTCGGAAAACTAGTATTGGATGGATGTTTTGCTTTTGAGTCTCATGATGATGCTATTTGATGTTCGTCATTCCCTGTTTTGCAGATTTTATTCCTTCGTTCTTTACTCGAGGACGAGCAAGGGTTTAAGTCTGGGGGAATTTGATAACTCCTATTCTTCTCTATATTTTGATGAGCGTTTGTCTAGGTTTTATAGGATAATCACATGCATTCATAGGCACTCTAGGCGTGTTAGGACACAAAACTCGGTTGTGCTTTAGTTTTGTAGAGTTACAGGTTTCGAAGATGATTGGACTCGAAAAGGAGCTATTTGGAGCGTTAAAGGAGAAGTCCGGATGAGGTACTCATGTTGCGACATCACTAACTTTCTCTACAGAGGTCCAAATTGTGCGAGACTGTACCATTGGAAAGAGGACTTCAAGAGCTTCACGTAGACATCAAAAACGCATAAATCCGACACCGGAGTAGAAAGTTATGAGTGAATTCGTGAAGACCAGAAAACTGCCAGCGCAGGGCCGGACTCAACTGGATCCGGTCCGGATCAAGGACGCAGAATTCGACCCCAGGAATCTGGATCCGGTCCGGATCCACCTGGAAACGGCCCGGATCCAGTCAAAAATCTTGTTTCGCGATTTTCAGCATCCGAATGGGAATAGGACTCTTGGGAGCCACCCTAGGGTTATAAAAAAGCTCTAGCCACGTCCTAAAACAGGGGAGAGCCTTAGAGAATACTTAGATACAGACTTTTGGAGAGCTTTTGGTGAGAGAAGAATAGAAGTTCACGGGATTTCGGGAAGAAGAAGGAAGATTCGATCGTGGAGACTACACATCTACATGAGCTTTTCTCTCCTCTCTTTTATCTCTTTTCTTTTGAGCTTTTTGTTGTTTTCTATGAACCGTGAGTATATCCACGACTATGGGTTAGGGATTCGTATGTGTTTTGGGTATGTTTGAACCCTAACTTGGATTTCGGTTTTGATTTGTTTCGGTTCTATTGATTTGCGCTTTTATTGGATTGATGTTTGCTAACCCCTTGGTCAATTATCTTAGATTCTAAACTACATAGAGATATGAGTTGGTTTCGGATCAAAATCAATAGGATAGATCGTATTATTCACATAGAGATATGGTTTAATCGATCTAGGGTTGATGATAGTGTTCTTTATGCACATAGGGTTAACTTGAATAGATCAAGAGATTGACGAGTTACTCTGTAGGTAGGGAGTTAGTAGACCGAGAGGTGAATTCTCTATCTTTGTTGCTTGATGATTCCCGAATACAAGTCATAATCGTTATTTTTCGCATGCTTAGCATATACCCATACACATGAATACGATCCCGACACCCGTAGTCATCCTTGTTTGATAGGTTACTCGTTTTCATTGCTTTTCTCATTCCGTTTTCCATAGATTCTATATACTTCCATCATCACGTGCTTGCTTGCTTTGATCTATTTTCGATTTTGATTTGGATTTAGCAACCGGTCCTCGTGTTCGACCCCGTGTTACGATGATCCGTATCCTTGCGGTGAGTTGTGAATCGGGTTATAGATTTTAGACTCGGTACACACGTATCAAGTTTTTGGCGCCGTTGCCGGGGACTAGTTAGCCTATTTCTAGGTCTTTATCAATTCTAGATCTTGCTTGTGTATATATTGAGTCGTGTCTTTTTCGAGTCTTTTTGTGTGTATAGTTGAGTCGAGTCCTATGTATAGTTTTTGTTTTCTAACCATCTACACTAGTTTGCTCTCCCCCTTACTATGATTACAGGTGAACAGACCCCGGATCGATTGAGGTAAGCGTTCTAACGTTTCTACAAGATCATGCATGATAGGTTTTAGAGTTTCATCAAAAATTTTGTTTTACATCCGCTGCACAAACCCTAGAACTGATCTCTTAGAAATTAGATTCGCTCTTGAGATCCCAGGAAACCCAACAGCCTGCACACCCAAGTGGAAGTTCTCCTTTGAAATAGGGCTCCAGGTCGCCAAGAGTTGACAAGTCACCTGTTTTTCCCACCACTTCATGTGCTCTGTGAAAATAGTGTCACTCATCATGAAATTGCTTCCTATATAGGTCACCGGATTCCTTATAACGCGGAGTCGTAGCTCATACATTGCCTCCTCAATGTGCTGAAAATGAAAAAACAACAAATGTCAGTATTCTGGATAATGTCACCATGTGACCGAGACAAATGGTCCCATGTGACCGAGACAAATAGTCCCATGCGACCGAGACAAGTGGTCCCATGTGACCGAGTCAGATGGTCCCATGTGATCCACATACATTACATGTAAGATTGATTAGTTGACACTTACAGTATCTATGAGCCATTTTCCCGGTTGTAAAAGATCTTCCCAGAAACCTGACCTCCGTATTCCATCCAATTTTGACTTCCACAATCGTTTCTCTCGTGGCTTCTTCATCAACTCCCATAAAGCTTGAACTTATGGAATGGATGCTTCCACAAATCCCGGACTCCTAATCAGAAATCCACTCGGGTTGAGACGCTCTGGTTTCCAAACAAATTCCTTTCCTGCAATCTCAGCGTCTTCCTCAGCAACGCCTTCGTCAGGAGATTCTTCCTCAACCTCGTCTTCCTCACCAACATCCTTCTGGCTTATATTGTTTCGCCCTCTGCCTCTGCCCCTACCCCTGCCCCTGCCTCTGGCTCTGGCTCTGGCTCTGCCTCTCCCTCGACCTCCTGCAGCCTGAGACCGAGTTCTTTTGGGCGGTGGACCAGTTGATATTGGTTCTACATAAGGGCTTCTTTTGGATGGCCCATCAGCAAGTTTCCTTTTGCTTCTTTTCCTCAACTCTGCATTAGAGGAGCCAGCTACATGAGTTTTGGGAATTTCTGCTGGAGGTTGAGTGACTTCATCTTCAATAGGGGGGCCAGATCCTTTGTCAGAAGATTCTGCGGCTGTCTCATCCTCTTCCTCAGCTTCTTCTTCTGTGTTCTCTACCTCAGTGCCAACATCTTCTTCTTCTGTATTCTCATCCTCACTGCCAGCATCATCTTGAGATGCCTCATCCCCATCATGGTCACTGTCATCTTCTTCAGCATCTTCTTCGAGGTCATGTCTTGAACGAAAAACAAATTATACAATCAGATTAAAACATGTGATCAAATTCATATGGTACCATGTGACCATATGAACATGGTACCATGTGACCAAATGACCGTTTGCATACTTACTTCCTATTTGTGCGATGATGTTAGCCACCATTTGGTCCATGGAAGAAAACTCTTTCTCCTTAGGCGATGGCTCTTTCTCCTTAGACGTTAGCTCTATCTCCTGACGAGATGGTTCTTTTTCCATCACCAATGTCTCTTGTGTCTATGTCTTCTCTTTTTCTGACCCCAATGGAGTCACATCTCTCTGTCTTAACTCAAAAACTCCAACATCTTCATCGTAATATTCGTCGGTTCCAACAGAACCCAGTGGAGGACTTGTCGTCACTCCTTCTTTCGCAACAGGACTTTTACTCACGTTCTCTTGCACTGTGTTGGTCTTGGGTGTGGATATATCCTTATCTACCGGATCTGTCACCAAGTTCTCCTGCACTGTAGGACATGACATAAATCTCTCTTTTCCCAACCCAACCTCCTTTAATAGGCCTCTCACAGCATCGATGATTCTGATCTCGGCTGCTTTAATTTCGGCCTTCAAATCGGTCTTCAGTGCTTTGAGACTCGTAACGCCGGTTGCTCTTTGTCGCCCCCTTTGTACCACTTATTGTGGTTCAAGTCTTTGTTGCGCTTGTTGTTATGGTTCTTGTTCTTGTTATTCTTCTTGTTCTTCTTCTTCTTCTTGCCGCTCATCTTCTATTTCATCTTCATCTACCAAACTTTTCTGCTTCTTCTTTTTCTTTGAAGAATTTCTAGCACGCAATTCCACTTCATGGATTTTCTTACACTATATACTCTCCGGATTCCTCTCTAGATATTGCATCCATACTTTAATCATCGAATCTTCATTTCCACCAAGATATGATCCTCCAGATAAAAAATAAGTGCTTCTTTTGTCGCTTCCTTCTTAAGTATACTCTTAATTCCCTGAAAAATAGATGTGACTTATAGTTACTATATGCATCATGTGACCAAATGAACTTGGTACCATGTGACCCAGTGATACGGTACCATGTGACCCAGTGACATGGAACCATGTGACCCAGATAACATGGTACCATGTGACCATTACAACATGGTCTCATGTGACCCAGATAACATGGTACCATGTGACCATTACAACATGGTCTCATGTGACCCAGATAACATGGTACCATGTGACCATTACAACATGGTCTCATGTGACCCAGATAACATGGTACCATGTGACCAAGTGGACATAGTACTATGTGTCTATGTTGCATGGTACCATGTGACCATGAAACCTGTGACCAACACACCATGTGACCATGTTTTATTTTTTGCATACCTTTGATTTAGTGTCAATCTTGTTTATAACAGTATTGAATGTCCATCTGACATTTGATTTGATGGACACCTTTCGATTTCCAAAAGTCTTCACTCTCCACTGGCTTTTCCTCATATATTCCCAGCCACCCGGATACTCACCGCATTTCAATCCGGATATGAGAGCGTGCTCAACGATGGAGTATCTGATTGGCATACCGTTTAGGATAAACCATAATTCATTTTCATCATCTACACTCACAGAATGGTTTATCAGGAATGCAACGTGCCATCAAATTACATGTGAAACAAGTGCTGAAACTGTGACTCATGACTGAAATACCTCCATTCTTCGGGGCTTAATAAGTCTTTCAGATTTTTCAATGTTTCCGACAGATAACACTTGGTATTTATCTTGGGGGAGAACTGAATGTCTTCCATCTTGTACAGAAATGGCAACTGCACAATAATAAAATTGATGAGATCATATAACCTAACACCATGTAACTAAGTCACCTGTGACCTATTGTCCTGTGACCTGTGACCACGTGATATGGTACCATGTGACCTATTGTCCTGTGACCTGTGACCATGTGACCTATTGTCTGTGACTTGTGACCATGTGATACGGTACCATGTGACCGATTGACATGGGACCTATTGTCCTGTACCATGGGATCTATTGTCCTGGTACCATGGGATCTATTGTCCTGGTACCATGTGACCTATTGTACTGTGACCTGTGACCAAGTCACCTGTGATCATGTGATCGAACTGAGCATCTTCTTCTCTGACCATGTAAAAACTAAATCACTCTGTGACCTGTTACCACGTCACATAAATCACCATGTGACCCAAATCAACATTTTATTCATCATCCAAACATCGATCTATACACCCATCACTCAAATCAATTCGATTTTAACCACTTTAAACCCAACATTCTATTTTGATAACCCTAATATTTCAAAAACAAAACCCTAAATTTCTATCCTCTCAAATCCTCACGACAAAAAGAACCATAAAAAACTGTCTAAATCTAGCGAATCTGAGAAAAAGATAAGTAACCTACCATGTAATCGTTCAACTCTGCAATTTCTATTCGATTGTCGGTCTCGTTTGAAGATGCCGACGAAGATGAGTGATGGGCTGATGTGGAAGCCATTCTCTCAGATTTCCGGCGTCGCTTGCTCGTCGAATCGGAGGAAAGTTCAAAGGATGGAGTTTCTTCACCGAATCGGGACTTCGATTCCTTGAAACCGGTTTCGACAGAGAGAGAGAGCAAATCGCGAGAAGGATAATGGGAGAGTTAACAGAGAGAGGAAGATTTCGAATGTTGAGTGAAAGAGAGAGATGGAGATCGTGCACAGGCGGTTTCGTTTTTTTCCTGTGTTAGCTTTTAGGTTTTTTCGTCTTTTCAGTTTTTATTTGAGGGTTTAGATGTCTTTTACACTATTTTTTACTTTTTTTTTAATTTGAATTGGGAAGGGTAGAGGGAGAAGTCGATGCAGCGGTCAAAGGATATATTGGATATATCCCCATCAAAGGTGTGGAATAGGAGCTTCTGACGACCAATGGGACAACCAAAGGGGGCTGGGAACTCGGTGCCGCAGTGGGAAGGAGCCTCTTCGCTATCCGCTATTTCTGGTTCAGCCTAAAATCCCAATTTCAGCATTTACTACCTGCCTTTTTTAATTTAATCTTATGCTCAAGGCTAAATTAACCCTTATAAAGCAATCATAACAGGAGTTATTGAATCATTAGAAGCTTCTGTAAAGCCGTCATTCGTTCAAAAACGAAAAATGACATGAGCGGTTTACGTCCTAAAACATCTTCTTACCCAATCCTAAAACTTCTTCCTCTGCCTCGGGCCAGCTCCATCTCCCTCTGCTCGGTTGAGAGGAAGGTCAAACTATATTCAAAATGTTATGTTGGGCCAAACTTTACCATATACATATATATATATATATATATTCAAAATGTTAAAACAAATCATCGCACAATTGGAATATAATATAGCATACAGTATTGTTGTTGGTTCTTGTCGTGGCTTCGACGTGCCTAAGGACCTCCTTAATTTCAGCTGTCACGCCTCTTCGGCTGGAGGATTATTTAGTTTTTTTCTGGATAAAACGTCTGTGGCCCTTACAAAATAAAAATCCGTGTTTTCTCATTTTAGAAAAAGGTTATATTATCTGGATTGGTTTTTATTTTTAAAATTCTCGTTTTTTTATAACGATATTTTTAAAATTCTCGTTTTTGTGTATTGTTCAGTAATTTTTCACCTAAAAGACGAAATATGCTATAAAAACCATAAACACCAATCAAAATTTTCTAAAAATTATACATAAAAGGTAAAATTAAATATACAATTATTCAGGATTTTAGTTAAATTGAATACATCCGATCAAATTCAAGGAAAACAAAAATCCATAGTTAAAAATAAAAAGAAAATGATATTGCGAATCATAGCCTAAATCGTTTGTCATCAAACACTACAAAAAAAAAAAGCTACAAAAGCTATTCACTATCTATTAGCTTTCGCTAAAAATATTTAGGTATTTTGTCACAACAACCTTATTTATAAATTAAATGAGTAATATAACCAAATGCATAACAATCTTCGTAAAAAGTCTATATTTTGAAATTTTATTTTTATCTTTTTCTTTGAGTTTAGATTTTAATTTACAAATAATTAATTTTATATTTTTGTAACAGTTTAATTTTGCACTTTTATAACCCAAAATGTTAATCATTTAACTATTTAAGTAACTTTAATTATATATAAATATTTAAGTAATTACCCACCATAATGTTTGTATTTTATTTATCAACATGGCCACTAAAAACCATTTCCATTATTAGAGTTACGAAGTCAACGAGTTCGTCTGGCTGAAGCTGAGTTCCTCTGGCACCTACGCAGCTTTGACAGCATCGTTAAGGTCAAGGTTTTTTTTATATAATTATAATCAAATAAATTTAGGGGTTTTCTAAACTGTTATTCCCATTAACCAAATACAAATTTAGAAGAATTTTGATAATTGGTATATTTGTTCAAGAAAATAACAATTTTATTTATCTCTTTAATGAATTCGTATATTTGTATGGGATTTTACAATTTACCATTTTATTAAAATTTAGTGATCAAAATGCAATTCTAACTGAATATGCGCACACAGCTAATCACGGTTTTTTTTCTTCTCATTTTATGATTAATTAATTTAAAAGAGAGAGAAAAAAAAAACTTTTATTTTACTTTTGAGCGCTGTCACATCTACGGGACAATTCCCGAACCCCCCCCCCCCCACCCCGAGCCTTCGTCCATAAAAAGCAAGTAACCCCCAAATCGTAAACTTCACTGTTCTTCCAATTCGATCCGATTTCCATTTTTTTCTTCTTTCGGTTTCCGCCGTGCCTTTTACGCCTCGCTCTGCTTCCTCTCTCTTCTTCTTTCACCGATCTATAATATAAATCCAGTTTCCCTCATCTCCAATCCAAACAGGGTGAAATTAATCGACGAACATGTCCGCGGATCTGGAACTCTTCCGGGATTCGTCGAAGACCCGAATTCTGAGATCGATCACCAACCTCACGATCGGGAAACGGGATGAATCCGCCGAGGATAACGGCGGGGGGACAAGATCCCGGCGGCGCTGACGTGTCCACCGGCGCCGAGGAAGCCCAAAGGACCGGTGCTTTCCTGCAAGAGGAGGCTGACGGAGTTGGATTTCTTCGAGATCGCGCATCGAGAGGAGGTCGACGAGTTCTTCAGATCTGCAATTGAGACGACGATGGCGGTGAAGAGACGGCGTCGGAATTTGAAATTCAAATCCGAAATCTAAACAAGGAACTTGTTCGAATATGCACAGATTCGGAAAAAAAAATGTGATCTGGTACGTTTTGATGTAATTAGTAATCACACGTTTCCACGACGGAGAATTGGATCGTTCTCTCTGTTCTCCCGCTGTAATTTGGGTCTCATCACATCACACAGATGTGGAAATCAGACAATTCGGCAATGACGATGCATTCCTTTGATTTGATTTGAATATGAGATTTTATTTATTCCGTACGGTATTTTGTAATTTCGATTTTGCTCTACATTTATCTGCGCAAGGATTTGGAGCAATGGTGCTTGGTAATTGAATTATTCTTTTTTCGAGCAAAATACGTATTTTTTTTTAGTAGAATGCGTAAAATGCGTACTGCTTTTAGCCAATAAACTCCCATTAAACCTAAGAGAAAAATAAAACGAAAAAATCTAATTGAAGGACAAAACATGTTCTTTTTCTAAACATGTTCACTGCGTGTAAGAACGTCTGAACCCTATCGATAATCCCAAGCATATTTTAATTTTTTTTATATATATTATGATATTTGAACTTATTAATGTAGTATGTGAACCTAAGTTTATATTTAGTATTTAGCTGTTTTGTTACCAAAACATTTTTATATATAGAAACAAAAATTATTAACAAAAGACATTTCAAAATATCTTTATTTAATGGATTTATAAAAATTAGTTTTACCTTTTTCTTTGAGTTTATTTTTTGTACTTTTTTAACATAAAACTTTATTTTTAGAAAAATATTTCAAAACTAATTACCCCAAGTGATGTGTGATACTATGTATGACTTTGATCTCCAACTTGATTTATTTATATTATAAAAAGATACAAAACCATCAATAATGTAATCACAATTAAAGTGGATATTTCAATTGGATTATGTAAAAACAATTGAATTGAATAATATATATATATATATATGTATAATTCTATCTAAATTGAATCCGATCTAAACATCAGCTGGGTGTTACTTTTATATACTAATTATCTAACTAAATTTGGATCCAAATGAAATTTGAAAATATTCTAAAATTTAAATGAAAAATGTCTTTTTAAAAATGAATATATTTTTAATGGAAACCAAATACATACAAATACAATACAAATCGAAACGAAAATTAACACACGTACTTTTCTGAAAATTTCGACGTTAATTTTTTCTTTTTTTTGTCATGTTTGCTATAACCACAAATGGGTAAAAACGAACCGATTCGATACAGCAACTATCTACAGCCATAAATGGTGATGATGCATGAACCATCACAACCAAAATATTCCTATAAATTAATCCGTAGGATAGGATTCCATATAATCCAAATAATTTAGATCTCATACTCTCTCTCTCTCTCTCTCTCTCTCTCTCTCTCTCTCTCTCGGACTAAATTTAGATCTAATGCATATGGGACTAAATTTCCCAAATAATTGATACTAGAACTTAAAATACATGAAGTTTCTATAAACAACTATAACCAAAATATTTGTTTTCGACATTAATTTCAAATTAGTATCCTGCGAAATTAATATCATAACATAGATATAAATTTTAGAATTGTGATCAATTTAAAAAAAAAATTATCCTTCTCTACTTCATGTGAATTCTCTGAAAAAACTAGAAAATCGATATTTTTACATCTCCAAATTTTATGAAATTCTATTACAAAATAAATTCACATCATACTATTGTTGTATATGTGTATATATTTCCTTGTATTGATTACTTTTTGTACCTAAAAATATTTGTATATATAAAAATAGTAAAAGCGAGAACTCGCATATTTGAAAATTTTAATAAAAAAGCCTGAAAACATGCCAACAGGTATAAAATGTGATTTTTAACAAAACATTAATCGTTCGAAAATAATAATAATACAACAAATAATAATAATAATAATAATAATAATAATAATAATAATAATAATAATAATAAATGTTTGACGATGTGGATGAGTAAATGACACGGCATTGGGATCGGTGAGTGAGTGGGTTTTGTCCAAAGGAATCAAATCACATAAATGTTTGGGTTGTGTCATGTGCAAGCAAAATCATTCAACGTGATTCGCCTCTTTTTGTCACGTTTCGGTGAATTCCATATCACTTACTTTTACTTTTTTTTTTTTATTTCTAATGTTCGATGACTTTCTCTATTCTATACGTTTCCCGATATTGATACGCTCCGTTTTATCCTTACCTTAAAAGTAACTACTCCTCTGTTTATATAATTATAAATGTTTAAAGATTTAAACATACAAATTAAAAATAATAATATTTTGTCCAAAATATCATTATTTCTTATACAGAGAATTGTTATCTTTAAATATATAAAATATTTAAACCTTAATTAGGGATGAATTTAGAAAATAATAAAAATTATATAAAAAATCTGAAAACATCATTTATTTTGAAACAAAAAATTGTTTCAAAACGTCATATAAAGTGAAATAGGATGGAGTATTAGTTTATCGACAATGGCTGCAAATGGTAACCAAACGATTAAAAAAATGTGTGCAGATGGATATTTTTGTTTGATGATTATGTCCTATTGATAGATGTTTAATGTTAGTATCTAAACGCAAAGACGAAGCATGAATATTTTAAAATTTTACTATATGTAAGTATTTTATTCGTATTTAAAAAGTTTTTTCTAATAAAAGTTAGTGTAAAAAATAATCTATCGAGCCTAGTTTTTGAAAGATATATGATTATAATTATAGTTTTAATGGTTACACAGTGGTTACGATTATATAAAATATGCAAGTTTTTTGCATGTAAAAAATTATATAATTGCTTCCCGATTATATAATAAATGCATTGAAAGTTATGAAATTTAATAGCACAATTTATGGTTTTTAAGGATGAAATGTGGGTGATTACTTTTTGTTTTATTATTATTTATAGTTTTTTGCAAATGAATTATATTATATAATTGATTTCCGATTATATAATAACGCATTTTTGTTATGATAACAACATTGAACTGAAATTATATTAATTATATTTATTCCCAACAAGAGAATCAAGATATTGATGTTAATAGTATTTCTTGATAGAAGAACTGAAACCTTGAGTCATCTTATAATTGGACGTTATAAATAAATGTTATGATTGCCATTTTTACTGTTGTAACCATCGAGTTAATATATATTTTTTCTAACACGATCCACCATTAACAAATGGTTAATACACCTAAAGTATAACTAAATAGTATAGATATAGCATTAAAATTTAACTGTTCGGTTACAGAATGGTGTCACAAACATTTTCAACCGTTCGATTGCTCCCCAGATCTAATCTTCCCCTTTTGGGGAAAGGGTGCTGTACCAAAGATCTATCTTTCTATTATCCTTTTTTCCTTTACAGATCTACATCTCTAATTTAAATCGTAAAAAACTTAAATATATTATATAATAAATTCAGAAATGTCATTTAAATTCAAGACAATATCCGGATTTTTTCAGAGCTATTTATTTAATAATCGACATGAAATTCGAAATCGAATCTTGTGCCATTAATAAGTATGTCTGGGGCCGAAGATCTGTGAGCCGAAATCTGAGGTCGACTCTTAGAAACTACCAAAATCTTTGGGTGCATTGGTAACTATGCAGATTAAAAAAAACAAAGGCGTGTAACTTATGGTTCTCTATTAATCACATTTTTTTAATAGGATATTCAATCTATTCTTTAAAGATTCTACATTTTATACAATCAGTGGTATCTATTATGATAAATTTCACATAATTGTCAATTGCGTGAAATATATCTTAATATTATCTTATACGACGATGAAGATGATGATGATGATGATGATGATGATGATAATAATAATAATAATAATAATAATAATAATAATAATAATAATAATAATAATAAGAATAATAATAATAATAATTAAAGGGTGAAAAGCTACATGATTGAAAATGAAAAAAAAAAAACTGCGGTGGACTGGTGACAAAATGTGTTAGCCATTTTTACTTTTGTTGGCTGCATTTGTTAATTATTCTATCTGCTTTTAGGCTTTAGCTAATTTATCTTCTACCCCTAAGTCCGTGCGAATTTGCGTGTATTTTTTTTAACTGCACGTATATAAATAAAAAGGTAAATACTATTATTTCTTTTCTAACTGCGCGAATCACACACTCTGCCAAAACGTGATACAAAGGACGACTGTGTTAAATGGCGTCAATGTCCCAATGATAATAACCAATTTCAAATTTAATGTTTTTTCAAGCTAGGATGTGAATTTTGTTTCGAAAATGTGGAAAAATAACCACGTAAAATCGAGAAATATATAAACTGTAATTTTTGTATATTTGAACTGAAAAGACGTGTTCATGGGAAATTGTGGTATTGCCGATATTATATGGACTGACCAAGGTCGCAACCGATATTATATGGAATTACGAATAAGCATATGGGCTTTAATGGGAAGGAAAAAGGGCCCAAGCCCACTCGTGCAAGAAGAGGAGAAGAAAGAAGTTCCTTGAACGTGAAGGAAAGGAAATCGAGATTGATTCAGGAAAGGACGATAGTTGAGGGCTTGGAGCATGGGTGCATGACTTGAAGATTGAAGGTCCGTCCATTCACTATTATTATAGACAGCCCGTTTGGACTGAACTGTTAGTCTATGTCTTTTTGGTTAATTATTTTGTAACGTTTGGACTTATTAAAAGGGTAAATGGTCGTCTATTGTAGACACGACCTGTTTTATCATATTTTGACGGTTTCTCTTTGAAGTTCTTTTGGGAAACTACATCTGAACTCTTTGAGTCATATATGTTGGAATTACTAGGATCCCGATCATGCGATTCATAATCACATGGAAATCCAAGTTTTAGGGTTCAAGTGGCGGAAGATGAAACATAATCTTTTTTAACAACCCTAGAACAAGAACATGCATGTTGTAGTTGTAAATATCATAAAGAGAATACTAATGTGGAATCTTTGAGATTCTTCGCCAAACAATTCGGGGCTATCATTGTTTTGATTTTCGTTCCCTTCACTAGGTGTTGAAAGTGCCAACATCTTCATCGGGATGGAATCCAAACTTTTGATCTTGTCTACTAGGACGGTTGAAAACACTTTCTCTTACATATGCTAGGGTTTTGGAGAGATTCGAAATTGTTCCTAAAGCTCTTAGATCTGATATAGGTTTATCAGGAGGCTACTAAGACGTTCTTATACTTGTGGTGGCATGCCAAAAACATAGGATACGTACATTCTCCTTTCATATACTCTCTCGAAACTCTAATTTGACTATGTTAAGGCAAAGAATTTACCGCATGAGCAGTTTCGAGTTCTAGAGTTTTGATTGCCATGTGTGGTTGTGGTGCCTAGTATAGGATGGAGATATAAAGGCCATGAATTCATAAGTTGACTACAACAACAATTAATATTTCTTTTACTTTTCGAATAATTTATTTTGACATTGTCAATTTTAAATATATTTTTGTTGAATTTTTTACGTGAAAGTACATACAATTATATTATTTTTTTATAGCTACGTTGCAATTATGAATAAAAATTATTTTTTATTTTTAGACAAAAAAGTCCAAATTCCTGCCCAAACTCGTCTGTCGAGCTCTCAAATATAAACCCGAAGTCTTGCCAAGCCGTGTCGGCCCAACCCGATAAATTCTAGGTTCGAGTAGAACCCGATGCGAGTCCTGTTTGGTCCACCCATTTTATAGCCCTAAACCAAGATACACATATAATTCGAGTTTTTGACGGTATCAAAACCGATCCAAAAATTTAATACCGCAATACACAAATGATTCGAGTTTTTTCCGATATCAGGACCGATGTAATCCAAAACTCTAAAACCGTGTGTGTGTGTATATATATATGTATATACATATATGAAGAGCGAAAACAAGGGTGCTCACATAATATAATGGTATAATGATATTTTAGGTAACATTTCCACTACCATCTAAACTCAATAGCCAGTGGTAAATCCAACCGCCACCACATTATTGAGAAAACTCTTGAAAAATAAAAGTACTGTTCATATGACCTAAATATTCATTTGAAACTCTCTCCGTAATAAAATATCTACGGAGAGTCGCCGTAATCACCGCCGCCGTATCCAGACCCATAGCCTTCTCCGTAACCACTACCGTTGCCGGAGCCATTCCCCCG